AACTTTCTAGCACCAAAAACGGCGCCCCTATTCCACTTGCATTCTCCGACTTTTCCTTGATTCTCTCTTCCTCTCGCAAGCGTGTTGTTGCCTGTGTTGGTTTTGCGTGATTTCCTCTTGAGGTTTTGGCAATGGTGGTTTCGAATCTGTGTGATGACTGAGTATAAAATAAAGCTTGATATAATATCTGCATGTGCATAAATTTTAAATATAAAATATATCACCTCACATAAACACCCAACATAAAATATATCTAAGGATGTTTAGGGGATACAAATTAACAACATTATATAACGACCCACCTAACTTCAGCAACATTTTTTGAGCGATAATATACAATCACCAACTTTAAACTCAAGTACTATGTACATTCATTCACCTAACATTTCTATTCAACTTAACAAACAAACAAAAACACACTAAAAGGGAATAGAAATAATTTGGAATATTATTTTCCTTAACAAATTTGACATGATAACCACATTTCATATTTCAATTTTTGTTTTAAATTAATTAATTCTAAATTGCTAATCTTCTTAATGAGAAGTAGAAGAAGGGCTCCATGGTGTCATATCCATAGGATAACTCCCCAAAACTCTCAAGAAAGAGGTAAATTCTTGAACCTCAGCAAGTGCATGCTGTGCTCTAACTTCAGCCATAGAAGCATCAAAATCTATATAAAAAATATATTCAAAGTGTTTAGCTGTTCCTTCACTTTCATCATCCTCGACGCGAATCGGACGGCCACGGTGAGGCCTCGATTCGATCTTAGTTAAGCTGATATTTCTAAACGCAAAAGCGGAAAGCACTTTAAAAAGCACTGAAGTTCCGTTATCATGAGCGAATACTATGCTGGTTTTGAAAGGACGATCCGTTCTCGGAATTATGGGTTCTCGGGCCAACATAACGAATCGGGTCACGTTATTCGGATCATCTTGGATTCCATCAGCGAGAATACTTAAACCGTAAAGCTCCGCTGCGCGTGCACTTGCGATAGCCGCCGTGTCACGGAGGTTGTTTGTAGCGATAAACTCCGCGGCTCCGGCGGTATCATCAACGGCCTCACGCGCTACGTTGAGACCTAGTTTTGTTAACGTGTTTTCGCACTGCGCTAATGCCTGTGGATGCGAAATCACGCGTGTTAGGCAGTCTTTCCGGACCCCTGGGAGAGCGAGGAGACAGTGATGAACAGGAAGTTGAACTTCTCCGACGATGTGGAGACGGTGACGGAGGAGGAGGTCATAATTTCTATGAATTGAACCGCCGAGGGAGTTTTCAACCGGCAAAACTGCGCGATCGGCGATCCAGAGTTCAACCGATTGGAACGCTACCTCGAACTGGTCGCACGGTATGGCTTCACTGTTTGGATAAGCTTTACCAGCGGCAGCTTCTGAGTACGCGCCGGGAACACCTTGGTACGCAACGCGTAGCTGTGAACCGTGTATTGGAGCCGGAGAGAGATCGGTGATGGTAAGCGGCTTTGGCGGAAGCGGCTTGTTTCCGACAGGAACAAGTTGAAGATCCGTCACGGCGTTTAACTCACCGTTGACGGCACTAACATGGTGGTTCCCGTCGGTAGGAGAGCCATTTTGCTGCGAAATTACTTTACTGGCTAAGATGGTGCAGGAGCTTTGCCAGTCACATCGGCTTGAGCCGACACCAAACTCTAAACCGTATCCACATTTTACGGTTAAGCGAGGTGGACCAACCCGGTTTTGCGAGGGTTGAACCCGGTTTAGATAGGTAAGAGAGTTAAAAGATGAGAGAGTAAGGGTATGCATGTTAGACACTTGTTGAGAGTTGAAGTTGGTTTAAGCTTGGTGTTCTCTTTGAAGAAGGGAACCTCAAGCCGAGAGAAAAGAGAGAGGTTAAAGGGTTTATATATTAGTTGAAGTTGGCAAGTGGTGATGAGATTTTGAATTGTAAATGAGACAATGCTAAGTCTTGAGGGGATGGTGACTGTGCAAGGCTGTTCGGTCAATCCTACACCTACCCCCGTTATTTTAGTTAATCTGAATAAAAATATTAATAAAAAACATGAATATTTATTATTTATTACTTTTTTGAATATATTTTTACGGTAAAAATATATATATTTTTTGAAATATTTTTATTAATAGGATGAAAAAATGGGTAAATAAATTTTAAAAAACTCATTAAACAATAGATAAATGTACTTTAAAAGCCTAGAATTATCATTTATAAAAGAGATAAATATGTATTAAAAGATTTCTCATATTTGGTATTAGAGGAATATTCATATGATTTTGTATGTTAACTTGAAGTATGAATATTGGTATTGTGTAATTTACAAAATGATGTTATATTTAACTATTATTTTTTATAGTAGATGCGAAGTTTAATTTTTTGGTCAATTATACAAAGTATAATAGATTATGTACACGAAATGCATTTGTTTTTCCATAAGAAAATAAATTATATACAAAGTATAATAAATTATATACATGCATGTATTTTTCCATAAGAAAATAAATAAATACATGTATTTTTCATTTTACCGTATTCAAAAAGTTAAAATGCATGGTATCTAAGTCTATGGATGAAAAATGTCTAACTTTATTTGTCTATTTTAAGTTGAATTATTTGATATCATGTTTGATTTCTGAACGAAGTTTCACATCAATTGTATGTGTAGGTATCTTATCTATTATTGATGGGAGATTCGATAACTAAGGATTCCACTCTCTCATACTTTCATAGGGTTTTTGTTGTGAAATTTAGTAAATAAAATAAATTTAAATTAATATTTGTGGAATTAAATTTAAAATAATTTTGAGAAATATTTGTGTGATTCATAATTTTTTAGACAATATATTGATATTGAAATTGAAATACAGTGTTTGAGAAATAATTACTTAAATTGATTGAAATTGAAATATAAAAGATTTAGAAGTAAAATGGTTAATGTACATGCAGAAAGTGACTTGAACATAAAAAGATTTGAATTCATAAATGTGAAACGCATATGTACATTCTTCACTTGTTTCTCAATCACACAGATACCTAGAGTTTTGTAGAATTTGCGTACAACTACGGACACCTAAAACATAAGCAAACATCTACTTATATACTACTTTAGAATAACCATATACAACAGTCGACTAAGCCAAACACACCACGTTTTAGTCTCCATGCATCCTTCACCTCTGACAGATCCCTACGTGTCCTTGAATAACTACATGGTCTTATCCAATCACAGCTTATTCGATTGTGTAGAGAAACAATGAGGACTCTAAACTTCACTAAGTCTCAAACTCGACAAACCCCTCTTATCTCTTACTCATTGTAACATTCAACTAGAATTAATCTCATCCTTCAACAAGTCGAATCCATAAGAATCAATATGGATATAACTAACCATTTTAAATTTTCTCAATAACTCTTGTATGATCCTTGTTTCAACTCTGCAATTAATGTGTGTAGAAAATCTAAAGTAACAAATTTCCCCCCAAAATGTCATGTTTCGATTTTAAACAGAGAGAAAGGTGGCATTTATTTATTTATTTTCGACATTGCTTTAATTCCTCCGCTGACGTCATCGTCATCATTGCCACTTTACTACGCGTTGTCATTTTTCAAAAGATCCTCTCAAAATCTCATTTGTGCTCTTATTTTCTAAGAGAACACGCATTTACACATCTTCAATAACTGCTCCACTCACATAAATGTCATTACTCCTTGCAACATAAAATGTTCTACTTTTCCACACGTATGCAAAGTGTCCAATTCTGGCAAGCAAAAAAGCTATATAAATACCTGGTTCAACTTTTCATCTCATCTTCGTTCACTTCACATCTTTAACGCAAACAAAACCCTTTCAAAAGCTCTCAACTCCAACAATGGCAGTCAATACTTCAGTATCCAAGCTTGACACTAGGTGACGTTCACGATTTCACCAAAAGAAGATGAAAAGGGTAGAGATTTCGTACCCGAAACACCAATGGAAAAGGAAAATAAATCACCATTTGAGCTAGCCAAGTACTTGTTCTTTTTTCTCTGTCTGATAAGTTATTTACTTTCTTAGAAAAATACCCGACTGCAAAGTCAAATACTGGGAAAGTCAAGAAATTCTTCCAATGTTATTCAATTATTATGCCCTTAGCGTTCGAAGAACGCTCTCTCGACCTATCCTTTATGGAAAACATGCGCGTGTCTTTCAATCTGTGCCTCCTACTTAAAACAAAGAATACCTTGCTTGGCTAGACAAATTTCTACTCAAGAGAAAATCCAATGGGGAAAATTAAGCATCTATGACATGATTTAAATCTCTAGAACTGACACTAGATACAACTATTCACCGTGAAATTTGGAGGATCGACCACACTAAATCCTAGGACATAGCTAATATGAGTTTAAAACCAAACGAAATCTAAACGAGAAGGACAAATACTTCGACAGTATTAAAAAATATAAAAAAAAATTTTGGCAATAAAACAAGTAGAAAATGAAAGACATTTGGGGCGAAGAAGATAGCAACTCGAAGTAAAAGGTAAAGACCGAAAAATATAACTTGAATAAAAGCAAATAAGTAAAGGAAGATTCTTATGAAAGAAAAGAAGAACTTTAATGCGTTACGATAAAAGATGGTGTTTTGACACGTACATTCTCAGTTATAACTCTTTTCTCACTTTGACTTGGATGCTTTGAGTAATTTTCTGAGTAACTTGTACAAAATGAACACCACTAAAATCCTAAACTGAGCCACTATTTATAGGCAGTCGAAATAACCGCTCCTAATGACTCAATGGACTAGATTAAAACAAATGTCACTCTGCATGCTTTGATTACTTGAAACAGTGCCATGTGCCTCCTTCTATTGGCGTAAAATAATTGTATTTCCCTCTAGAAATCAAATTTAAACTTTAAAGATTCTTGTCTGTCGAGTCGTCTTTCTTCTGGTCGAAACCCCCGCAGCATTACCATAGTAAAATATATTGTCTTAACATAAAAACCTAACGTTTCCACATGGGCGTCGAAATTCAAGGCTAACAAATTGCCCCCCAAAAATGTCACTTTCGACCTCTAGAGAAAATGACATTTTTTTATACTCTGTTTCGACGCCTCTCATGACCTTTGCATGTCTTTGAAGTCACATCCTCACTGTTCCCCATACTTAATGACATCATTAGTGTGAGGGCAAAGCCTCATATACTATACATGCGTGTTTCGATGATGTCAAAACGCAACCACATGAAAGAATCGATATTTGGCGTCATCACCATAATGCATAAGCATACCTTATCTCTCATGTCTCATTTGCTTGCATGTTATGTCATCAAATTAGCGTCATACGAGTCAGATATCATTGGTGCTAAGTTGCACCTAGAAGAGTCAAAAACATCAAATTAGGCATTTTTGTAAAATACAGGTCTTTGAGTCGACCACTCATTTGCTCCGGCCGACTCATAGGAAGTGTCTCAAACTTGCATTTTCTTCGGGTTGGCGCACATCGACCTACCGGTCGATGCATACGGTTGTCATTTCTGTTTGTCTAAAAATGCAGACTTTGCGTCGACGCATGGTCCTATTTTGGTCGACGCATAACTTGTTATTTTGCATAATCTGTTTTGCTTGGGGTAGCTCAGGTCGACCCTTCCTTTCGTATGGTCGACCGTTCGCTGTTTTACTGCATAATTTTGGTCTGTCCACTTATTTTGAAAAGTGGTTTTGTCTGTTATTTTGGCATATATAAATAGAAAGTTGCTCAAATCATTTCAAAAAAAGTTGAATCAATTGGAAAACAAGAAAAGTGAAAGAGTTGATATTAGTTCTCATCATCTTCATCTTCTACATTTCATACCACAACAATCACACACAATAATCTTTGTTGTGCATTATGGATTGTTTAAAGTGATAACGTCCAAAGCCGTTAATTGGGAATCCGGTTCGGGTTGATATTCTGGCAGGTTTTTCTTGAATAAAACCTTGAGGGTTTTGTCCTCCAAGATTCAATGAATTTGGGGGGTTTTTGGTACGAATCTTCTCAACATATATTCAGCTGAGCGAAGGTGATCGATGAGCGGTGGGTTCCGTCTGTCTAGTAGCGGTAATCGGTGAATTGTGAAGGAGAGGTTCGGGTTCGATTAGTGAGTGTTTGAGATTAGCCGCTGGGGTTTGAAAACGCAAGGTTGTTCAACCAAGGAGCTGTAATCGGAAGTTCAACACAAACTATCGAAGGACTTGATTCGACTCGAATCAAGGGACAAGAAGAGAAAGCATCTTCAACAACAAGGGAGTTTGTTTGTGCATTTGCTATTCTATTCTTGTATAAACGATTCAACAACAGGTTACATTTATATTATACGAGCTTAATTCTATTGTTAGAATTGAGGGCAGATGTACCTTGAAGCGAGGACGGCGGGGGAGCTGCCTCAATAAATCTTTGTGCCTTTTACTTTACGCATTTTCATTTTGCTTAATATTCGCGTGATTTCCGTACAAACAATTTCATCAAATTTAGGTCTGTTTTAAGTAAGTGTTGAATTGATTCTGACTCTAGTACAATAGTTTATTGTACAAGGAAACTAAAGCTACTTACTCAAAGCCGAACTCACTTGGAGTGCTCCGCACGCCAAGTGTTTGATAAATTGTCTGAACCAAAATTCTCGTGTGCTGTCCATTTATTTTGTTGGCATTTTTAGGCATTGGAACTAGTCATACCAAGTAGTGATATAAATCAATTAATAGTGTGACTAGCATGGTGATTCTCTTTACTCATTATCAATTTCCATAGGCTAGACGCATATCCAATTTTCTAGTA